TGATATATTTTGTAATGTTATTAAATTTGTACAAGCTTTTAAAACTACATCTATTTTTATTTCAGTATGGTCAGCTTTGATTAATATTGTTTTTATAATATACAAAGGAACATAAAACATTTCTGTGGAATATGTTTTATATTCAATATTAATGTACTTTGTCTTTAGTATTCCTAAGCTTGTATAATAATTGTGAGTTACATGAAAGTGATTTTGTTAAATATGTGATTGTCAAAGACTGGCCTATATTTCTGCACAATTGTAGACATTTTAATTACATAGTTATTAGAAAAAAAAAAAGTGAGCTACATCATTAATACTTCTAGTAAAATCAATTTTATAACTGTACTGCGTAACTGAACGTGTACCTTTTTCTTATTTATGGTATATTTACACGTTCAAGCACAATAAGAAATTATATCATCAACAGCCTATTTAACGCAACATAAGTATAAGAAATTAGTAAGGTGAATTTACGAGCTTCCAAAGGCCGAATAGTAATCAGCATTTGGGTGCAAACTTGTTACTTTGACAAACCGAATATTATTTAAAACCATGTAAAAACATACATGAGAAACATTATGCATGGATAGCGTTATTATTCTGGCACTTTCAATTACGTTAATTTTAAAGTAATATTTACTGTTCATAGAACAATTTATAAAATTATATAATATTAGCAATTTTGTAAAATTCAATAAGCAAATTCATGAATTTGATCATGTATTACTTTTCTATGTATATTGTAATTTATTTAATTTATACTTTCGTATCTACAATGTTATAAAAAACTGTTTTATAGATGTTTATTACTACATACGTATACATGTGCGCATCTATGATATAGAAATAGGATTACGGGGAAGTAAAAAAAATGTATGAGAGGTAACAAATAATAAGTGTGTATTATTTAATGATTCAGAAAACATGTAAACAGACTTATATCCACTAAATTTCTTTTATGAAAGATCGTGATTTTATAAGGAATAAGTAGCTATTGCAAATTTTTGTGAAAATAGTTTTCTTAAATTAAGAACAAGATTTTAGTTGCAAAATTGGTGGTATTTAGTTGGTAATAGAAGTTATGAAAATAACAAGTAAAAGCATACAATATTTTAAGTTCATGTAACATAATGTTAAAATGATATTTCAATGAATATCATTTCCTTCATCTTTGTTCATCTTTCTAATGCACACGTTTCATTGCACCTTCCTCTGATGTTATAAAAAGATGTATCTCCATACTTAATAGTGTACACCATATAAAATGTATTTATATGTATGTGTTTTGTATAACATAAGATTAAGTAATTTATTAGTAGAGATAATAGCTTATAAAACAAATATTACTTCATTATGGTAGCTAAGTTTCAAGTAGTGATACAATTAGTACCAATATGCATTCGGGTATGTAGTAACGAAAATATTGAAATTTGCAATTAACATAATTTAAACAAATTTTTTCATTTTTACTTTAAAACAACATTCGTATTTCAGTACAAATATATTGACATGAAAATACTTAGGACTGTAAATAAAATACAATGACATAGGAAAACATTTCAAGCTGAGTTTTCTATGTTATATAATTTCTTTATAAAAAAAAAAGAAAAGAATTCATAGTAACAGTATACTTCAAAATTGATACCTTATGAATAAATTTAAATAATTTGTATGTGCATAATAGTCAAGTCAGTAATTATTATTAAATTTGATATAATACTTTTCTGCTTCTCTTAAGATACCTATATCTGTCTGTTAAGTATTAGTTATACTTATTTCTTGATCATTTTTGTTGTAACGCGAAACTATATTATATCAAATTTATCTTTATACTATGTCCAGTGTAACTTACAAGAGAAAGACACAAACTGTCCTATTTCAAGTTTGGTGTAGTTTTACAGGATAATAGAATATATATCCCTATTAATTCTGATAAAATATCAGACGCCGATAATTTTGAAGGTATAAATAAGCATTTAATTATTGAGTATCTGCATGTCATATTTTATTGCATCAATAAGGACGTGTATTCTGATATCTTGCAAAAGCACATCAAAGTAAATATCGGACAATTCATGCCTTTTACTTGTTAGAAACTATAGAATTAACATTTTAAGTATCAAATAAAAAGTGTAATAAAACACTACAAACAGCTGCTACAAAATGTTATATTTATGAATGATTTTTCCCTACTGCAACATTGTAAGTGTTTTATGATCAATAAATTTTATTGTACCTGAAAAATATTTGAATATATAATTATATTAGTGCATAAAATATATACAGCATAAATCATATTAAATACATTACAGTACATAACAAATAAACAGTACTAATAATGTATAACATTTATTTATAAAAAGAAATTGATTTTTACGGATATTCGGTTATATTACGGTATATTATATTGTATTACGGTTATATTATAACCGCAATACATACATATAGAAATTGTAATAGCACATACGATCTTTTCATGTTAAAATAAATATTTTTACAAAAATTCTTGTCAATAGTTAAGATGATAATTACACAATTAACATTATTCTATAAATTCATCCCATGTATTGAAAAGCACACGCATGACAATTATCTGTCGTATAATCTGACGCTGGCCAAGCTATATTATTGCGCTGAAATACAAATACAATTCAATGTATGACCATAGCCAGCGCAGAGCTCAATTATAAGCATCCGTAAGTTTTTTTCCATTCTTTTATATTTAATCGTATCCATATGTTAATACAAATAAGTCACAATTTTTTAAATTAAAACAATAATTAGTTGCAATAATAAATACAATCTTTCTATTCACGTTTATTTTCTTCATAGAAAAAATTTAATTAATTACAACCACGTAGAATTTAAATATATTTTAATAATAGAGAATTATAAATCGTTCCAACTATTACTCTACTTTGTTTTTTATTCTTTTTCAAAATGAACAGCATTATTTTATTGAAGAAATTGTCTTTAGACTGAATTTGTGAGTTCCTATCTACAATGATTTTCAATGATGCAAATATAATTCGTAGAAAACGTGGAAAAAATATGACATTCTCCAAACAACCTATAAAGTAGACTATAAAATATTGAATGCGAATGGAAGGTAAATGTACAAATGAAATTTGATATTCGCGCTTGACGACTGATTTTTGTGTTTGGTATGTGCCGTGAAAGAGAAAAAGAACAGAAAGAGTACAGACAATTTAGCATATTAACGAATAATAATTTTATAGATGGGTCTATTGACTTTACTTCAAAGTAAGCTGCATTTCATTCTATAACTGAATTTTATAGATGTTAATAGCAGTGCATGAAGCATTAGGATATACACAACTCAAATAATCTGTAATTTCTAATATTTATTTACGAAATACTAAATTTTATACCAAATTTTCATTAATCTAATTGAAATGTAAATATATCGTTTTAAATTAAGTAAAAGATTAAAATAATCTCAGTATCATATTATTATTATCAGCCATCTCTATCAAATCTCTTGATTATAACATAAAATATAACTTTCATTGGTAATAATGATTGTTGGGAGAGTATTATCTACACTTGCAAGAGCACGATTGATCTCCTATGCAAGACCCCAGTTACTAAATAAGAAACAAAATTTGGTAATGTATAATTACATTATTGATTTGCCCTTGCAACATTTTATACTCTAATAAATTCTCTCTGTTCTTATTTAGACTCTATCTTTCTTGATGTGCAAACTATCAAGTTACCATGTTACAAAGAATATTGAACATATTTCACAAAGTGATGAAGTTGAAACTTGTAATGCAGAGGAAAGTAGACCTCTATTAGTTGTATTCAGTTGGCTATTGGCAAATCGTAGACATCTTATGAAATATATGAATTTGTACCTAGAACAAGATTTTGATATTTTACTTGTATCAGTTACACCTTGGCAACTAATGTGGCCTGTGAAAGGATCTAGGGTAAATATACAAACTAAAGCTCTAGTATATTAGATTAGCATTTGTAATATACAACTTAATTTGTGAAGTATTTCTTCTAGCTAGTTGCTGCAGATCTTTTAGAATTTTTAACACAACAACAAAATTATCAGCAAATTCTATTGCATGGATTTTCAGTAGGTGGATATATGTGGGGAGAAGTATTGGATTTAGTACAAAGTAATCACCAAAAATATAATAATGTAATTGACAGAATTGTTGGTCAGGTATGGGATAGTTTGGTTTATGTGACTGGCATACCATTAGGTATACCACGTGCTGTATTTCCAAGAAATGAAATGCTACAAAATATGTTACAAAAGTATCTAGAGTAAGTTTATTCTTTACTAATATAATTGTATGGATATTTCTTTCAAATTTTCAATTGAAACAATCTATATTAATGTAATTTTAGATATCATTTAAAAACATTTCATAAACAATCTACACAGTATTATATACGATCTAGTCAAATGTTTCATACAAATTTGGTACATACCCCAGCATTATTTTTCGTAAGTAAAACAGATCCAGTAGGTACAGTAATACATAACATGAGAGTAAGGGATCAGTGGGATACATTGGGTGTAAAGGTAAGTCATGTAAATGTATTAAATACAAAATAGTGATTTATTATTAGTGATATATTTTATATGTTTATCTTTCAGACTTATGTTAAAATATTTGAAAAGTCTCCACATGTTGGACATTATCCTATGTATCCAAAAGAATATGTTGCAGAACTTTATGCCTTTTTAAATAAATTAAGTTTAGTTCAAAATGAAGAAAAAATGAGAGCACATCTTTAAATGTGTTGTATAATGCCTTATCATGTATATGTTAAATTGATATTTGAAATGACACCATATTTGCCAAACATGTAGTTCTTTGATATTGATATTCATTTTTTATACAAATGAAGTCAAATGCCAAAGTTGGAACTTTTGATTTATTTATTTTTGGCTGTGTACTTTACTGCCTATAAATGAGGCACTTTTTTGTGCAATTATTAAAGGTATAATCTAAAATTATTATAATTGTATAGATTAATAATTATGCAAGCTTTCATTTAAACAGGTATACAGTAAAACAAAATGCTTTATGGACTACATATCTTACAGTGGTTTTAAATTTACTTTTAAAATTCAATTTTTAACAGATCCTCATATACATGAATACTTACTTGTTTCTTATAGCTATATTAATTCCTAAAAAGTTATTATACAATAATAAGGTAGATTATACGATATAAAATATAAATTTGTGCCTTTCATATACTAAGTATTATTATATTATTACAAAAATGATTCAACATGTTATTCTTTATACTATGTACATTTTTTGAAGATAATAAACTATGATTCAATTATATTTTATTTTTATCGTGTGTAAGTTCATGAACTTTATATTTTTTCTTTGATTTATGACGCTTTTTCTTTTCTAGTATCTCCTCAATTTCATCCGGATCTTTTCCTTCAAGAATGAGTTTTTTACGTTTATTGATAATTTTTTTTTCATAGAACTCTGTTTCATCTAGTTTCATTTCTGCTTCTCGTTTAGCAACAGATATTTGCGTTAAGATTGTAACTATTTCTTTATCTGGAGATTAAAAATTACATTAATGTCTTTAATACTTTTACTTTATTAAATGTTAAAGCTAAAAATGTATTACCATTAACTTTGTACTCTGTCAGCTTTGTGCCAATAGTATCTTCGGTGGCATGTAACAATTTAATATCATATGGAGTTATTAGGGTAACTGCCATACCATCTTTGCCTGCTCTAGCTGTTCTTCCTACCCTATGGACGTACTCCTTTGGGACATTTGGTATGATGTGATTTATAACTAATTCAACTGCAGGAATATCTAAACCTCTTGCTGCAACATCTGTAGCTATTAAAATTTTCACATGATTGGATTTAAACTGAGCAAGTGCTGCAAGGCGATCCCTCTGTTTTATCATTGCATGCAGTGCTGCATTTGTAAATCCAACATCATTTAATGTCATGGACAGTATTTGGCAATTTCTAAACAATAAAACATGTAAAAATCATTCATTATTTTTAACTGACATCAAGCATTATACATGAAAAACCTTACTTGCAAGTATCTGTAAAGATCATTATAGAACCATCCTTGTTACTTGCTCGAAATGTTCTAATTACTTCTATTAAAAAAGAATCACGAACATCACTTGGACAAAGTACATAACGTTGATCAAGTTCTTTAACTGTAACTACACCTGATTCATCTTTGGATTCCCATAGAAAGACCTTCAAAAAGTAGTTAAGACTAAATTGGTCATGGTATAGTTTTTTAGTTTTATTTAAATTTTATAAAATTTTCGAAATACCTTACTAGATGCTATGTGTTTTATTTTGTCAAGAGTATCTGTCACTGTTGCACTAAAGAGAAGCATTTGTTTTTGCTTAGGTAAAGCATCAAATATAGTTTTTAATTGATGATCAAAGTGACCTTCCAAAAGTCTATCAGCTTCATCTATAACTAAGAATTTAATTTTTTTCAAAGAAAATGTATTGCAACTTTCAAGGTGATCTGCTAAACGTCCGGGAGTTGCAACAACTATATGTGGATGCTTTGACAATTCTAAACCCTGCACAACCATATCCATTCCACCAACAATTACACATTTTTTTAAACCAATTGACTTTCCTATTGCTGAGAATTGATCAGCAATCTAAAAATGAAGTCTCTGTTACTATAATTGTAAATTTTAAAAAAGTAGATATAAAATATCTGTTTTAAAAAATTAACATACTTGGAATGCAAGTTCTCTAGTTGGTGTTAAAACAAGTGCGAATATACCATATGGATCCTCGGATAATTTTTGTAATATAGGAAGAGCAAACGCAAGTGTTTTGCCACTACCAGTTTTTGCACAACCGATACAGTCATCACCCGCTAATATTCTTGGAATGCAATTTTGTTGAATTGGTGTGGGATGTTTTAATCCTAGAATAAATAATAATACATTTCCTTCTTCTGTTTATCAGTTTCATTGATATTCAATGATAATTCTTACCCATGGAATGACACTGTGTGACAATCCATTGATTTAAATTTAATGCAGCAAATGACATGATTTCTCACTAAAAAACACTCAACTTATTTATACACGATATCGGTGAACACGTGGGATAGTTTGTTCAACGGATATTTTGCTTAATTTGATCATTATGTTTAATAAAGGTTAATATTGACTAAACTTTAGTTTAAAGAACAAATAATTTAAGACGAATAACTTTTTACAGATGTTTTAAAAAAACATTTTACGGTACATGAAGAATTCGAACATTTTCTAATGATGTTTTTCACGATTACCACTAGGAGGCTAAAATTTTTAAGTGATTCTCACAAGTTACGAATTGGACAGAATTCTTTAAAAATGCAATAAAAAAACGCATTTTTAGCAAAGAACGAATATTATTGTTCGGGGAACTAATTTGAAATATTTTATTTTAATTATTTTACCTTTTTTTATTCCTTCGTTTCGGTCGTAGTTTACAGAATTATGTTATAATTTTTAAGATGCAGCGGTATCTGTCGGTAACATGTTTAATGAAACAAAAATATATAAATAATTCATTTTCATAATAAATATAAATGATACGAATGTAAATTATGGACTCGGACATATTAATTATATTAACAGCAACAAATAGGAAATTGTATTAATTTCTTATACGAATATATATATACATAAGTATGTATGCATGTATATATGTATATTCATTTACATTGTAAATTTGTCAATGAATGTAACAAAATTTGGACATATTTTTATGATTATTTGCCTTAATTTGTAGAAAATAATAATCATAATATACATTTCTATGTTTCTTTTGATCAATAAAGATAATACAATTACAAGAAGGATAATGATACATTTACAATGTACGCCAGGACTATAAATTCTTTAAATTATTGAAACTTAGTCTTAAAGTCTAATTTACAATTAAAATTACATTTCAACATTTACATAAGTTTTCCTTATGATAGTTATCGTAGCATTGCACTTTGTGTTTTATGTAATTTAAGAACAATCAGCACTAAATTTAAAGAGAAAACTAACAATGTCATAATATTATAATGGCAGTGTGAAAAAAGCTGTCCGATAATGGAAAGCAAAGAACATTTTCATACTAAGCAAAAGGAAAAGCTACAATTAGTACAAGAACATTATTTCCAGTGTGTATGTCATCTCTGTCCATGCATATGTATGTTTGTCGTGTGCGCGCGTACATTTATACAATTTGAAAACATAAAAATTTGTTCAGTGTTCGATGCACATTTTTTTATCAATCATCCATCAATCGAAATTCTTTGTGCTTTTCCTGTGTTAATATATTTAAAAATGCGCTAGCTTTATTAAAGATGAACGCTTAAATTCGTTTTAATAAGTCGCTATCAATTAATTAGTTTCTTTCTCGATCCAATACCCATTTAGCCCTACCCGTTCCGCCCCACAAAAGAGATATACATGTTCAAATAATCATCGGTAAAATTCTGATGAAAACATTTGTTGCAACTTTTAACGCATGAAAGTTCCGTTTAACTTTACTAGCAAAAAGTATACATTATTATGTTGAAACTACTACAATCTTGTTTAAACATACAACGATGAAAATTCGAATTGAACCGAATTTTCCTTCACCCTAACGCACCACGGGGAATCTAATTTCGATATTCCATAATCTGCTGCAATGTTAAAAATCAGTTGTTCCTTTTTTTTTTTTCCTTTGATAGCCAAACTTTGCTATTTTACAAGTCTAGAGATACATGTATGTTTCAATAATAATTCGGTCAATGCGATAGGTATTAGACAACTCGCTAAAATCTTAGAGAAAAAACAGTCACTACGATGCTACGTCTGAACAAGAATAGTTAATAGAATAATATAATAGGTTTATCACAAATTTTATGTTATATTAAAGATCGATTAACGGTCATACTATCGAAGAAAGTTACATCTTACTTTATACGATTAAGTCGAAATGACACAACGTTTTCTTACGTTAATTAAATGCTCTATTGCACACTGGAGGAATAATCGCCACTGTCAATTAATCTGACGATGCTTTAATTTTTAATTTGATTTTGAAAACACAATTCTTCTTTTACATATTCCTCTATCGACCAAATACTGATTTTTCCCATATGGAACATTTGTTTAACATATCTTTTCAAAATCATAATTCTTTGTCGTCGCGTCCGTCTTACTGATAAACACAAAACGGAAAAGAAATACATATATATTTAATACAAATGTACAATAGTATACTCGCAACACATTTGCATCGCTACGATTGTAGATATTTTGCTAGATGAAAGTTTAACTATAAATGTATAAAGAAAATGTCATGTTATATAAATGAGTGAAAATACGATTAATTTCAATTTATTAATCTTAAGCGCTGCTTCATCCTCTGGTTTAATTTGCCGCATTTCAAGCGTACTTCAATGCTGCATATAATCAGCATCTCTTTCGTCGTTTTTATAAAAATATGCTTCTTGAATAATCATTATTAGGAACCGTGACAATGAAGAATATTTGAAATAAAAACTTATAATTAGAACAAAAAGAAAAAAAAAATATATATATATACACATAAAATAAAAAAGCACATATATCCAACATTTAATATATTAATAAAACTGACTTTGACATCGCACATGTATTTTTAGTTCGTACAATTTTTCAATTCGTACAAAATTAAAATTAAATACACTATAAAAAGCGGCAGATTATAACGAGGATCAAAGATAGCTTCATCGAATGTGTGTTCTGAAATGGCTATCTCCCCATATCACGAGTATATAAAATATGTTACAAATAAGTCACCCAACAACTACTGCAACTTAATAGTCTACCTTGCGTATACTATTTTTATCATGGTTTCAACAATTTTAATTAATCGTGAAAAATAAATAATGATGATTTTCCGTTACAATGTTTTTTTTTTTTAAAGTAAACATTCACATTCAATATATATGATTTGTAAAATTGGTGACAACCTTTGTTCGAAAGATATGAAAATTTAAAAAGTACAAAGAACATGAGATGTATTTCTCATACCTTTTAAAGGAAAAGAGTAACTTATATAAAATTGTTTTACTAAATTTGTTTCAGATCTGAATGTTCATAAAATTACATGACTCTTTTAACTGAGCTTCATGCTTCAATCATTTAGCTAGTTTCATAATAGAAACGATATCTCCATATATGTAAAATGACGTTTAACATAAAATGCGGTTCCTCGAATTCGATATGAAAAACCCTATTGAAAAGACGATTACTTGTTTCCTTTCATTTTTCAATTTTTTTTTCCTTTTTTTTTCTTTTTCGTTTTTTTAATTAATCTGTTCAACTTGTCTCACTAAATGAAATTTTCTTATATTATTTCGTTACAGCTCGCAAACAATGTATTCGGTATACGATGACATTTATGTGCAATGCACTTATTTTATGTTCATTTGCATAAAGGCATTGAAACACATCGATTTGTGTATGTGGCCACGTACGTACATGCGTGCGTGTACATGTGTATTATGTTGCCTTGTTTGTATAATTTTTTTATGTATGTATGCGTGCATGTACGTTTACGTTCACTCACAATACATGCACTCATACATACGCGCGCGCGTACATACACACATAAGCAGTATTTACAATTTTTCTTTCATGGTAATCAATCACGCATTTTGAGAACAGCAATTAATATGTGTTACCTATTATTTAGCTAATTCAATTATTCAATTATTATCATTATCAGTTAATTATTATAATAATAACTATTATTATACATAGTATAAGAGTATGGATTTTCCTCCTTTGTCCTCATCTACGGAAATAGTACTTAGATGTAACTCAACTCATTATGTTCCTCCCTTGTTTTTAATATAAGGAAGAATCCTTAATCGGAATTTATTTATCCTACATATGTAAATTTTGCATATGATATAAATATTTTATTAGTAAAAAAATTGTTTAATAACGTAAATTCATTAATGTCAAAAATAAAGTGACGATGAAAGACTATAAAGTTTCGAAATCTGCCTTCTCTATTGAAATGATGTTTGCACGAATATATTATTAATGAAAAAGCAAATTACCACAAAATGTAAAATAAAATACTAGTTTTATTATGAACGAATATAGCGATGAACTAATTGGTTACGTGTAAACTATTTTAGAGCTATATAAAATTTTCAGATAAATATTTACTGAATAGTATATAAATCAATACACGTTGTTTTTTTTTGTTATTGTTTTCTATTTCTCTTGGGAAAAGTTTCACTAGGCCCTTAATTATTCGTTGTTAGAAGAACGAGAAGCAAGAGAAAAATTTAAATAGTGAAAAATAACACAAAAACAGAACACACTAATTTTATCATGAAGAATCTGTAATGTGTTGCGATAGCATAGATCGCATAAGTTGTGAAACTTTCAAGAAGTCCACGATATTACAGGACAAAGAGACCTGTTTTTTCATGCCTAAATTGTATTTATAATTTGTTCCGGATGGTAATGGAAATCACTATTTATAGTTGTTAAGAGTGTGGAAAATCAATAGTATGCGTTTCATTGCCAAAAATCAAACGCAACCTTTTCATAGGTGGCGGAGGTGGATCGAGATTTAATTCACGTTTCTTGTGTCGTCTTTCACGATCTCGGGTTTTATGTTTTTTTTTACGCCTACTTCTTTCCACACCCTCTACACGTAATACTTCATATTCTGGTTCGTAACTGTCTTCACTTAGACTCGTACCCGATTCCACAATATCTTCTAAAACTGGTGAACGTTTCATGCGAAGAGTTAGTTTTAATCTGCCAGTTCTCTCTGGAGTGGTTGGGCACACTTGACAATTAGAACTACTCATTTGCCACTGATACTCTGAAGAAGCTGTCAATTTTTGTGCACTATCATTACTACAAGCTGATAATCTGTGGGTATAAATATCTCTTTTAATGCACACAATATTCTTTTCTCTGTAACGAAAAACCTAATATAAACATATTTACCTCTTCAAACTTTCACTATCCACAGAGTTTTCTCTTGACTGACTATTACCATCTGAATCTAACAATTGATTTTGGTTACAACTAGCAGGTGGCCATGGTTCTTGTGGAACTAATACTGGAGGCTCAGCTTTATTGCATTCATCATTGTATTGCATTTCTTGTAAATGCGATGTAAGTTCGGATGCATGACGAGTTTCTTGTTTACGTCGCATTATCGATGGTATTCTAATATCTTCTAGATTACTTTCTTTTTCACTGAATTCATAAATATCACCTTGAATACCCGAATCGTCATCGGCTACGCCAATTTCGGTAGTTGCTATTTTCTTTCGATCCTTTTTCTGACTTCTTGTTAATCTGCTTTTTGCTTTTTCAACTTTGTTACGACTTTTCGAAATAGACGCAATTATACCGTCAGTCGTTTCGTGCTCTATAACAGCTTCTAGTTCTTTCCTTAGTTCAGAACTTGCAGATTTCTTTTCACTTAAAAGCTTTTTTCTACTTTTATGGGATCTCAATGTAGCATGCAATCTTTCATTTTTTTGCATAGGTTGTTTTAACATCGAATTATGAGTATCTTCCAAATTATGCATAGCAAGCTCACTGTAACTATCAATTTCCGTTGTAATGAAATTTTTGTTATTTTCTTTACAGGAATCTGCATGAGAATCCGGATCTGTTGAACATGTTTCAATAATTTCACTTTTTTCAGATTTCAATTCAGATGGTTCAACGTTTACCACATATACATTATTTTTTATGATTGAATCATTTTCACAACTTATTTCGCAATTTTCCATATTTGTATTTTCATTAACGTAATTTATTTTACTAGGTTCATCGTTACTTAAAGAATTTTTAGCGTCTGAAACAAACCTATCAAATTTGTCTGCTTCATTCTCTATCAAATATTTAATCAATGTAGTTGAGCCCGGGGGATCACTATTTTTAAAGTTTGTGTCAGATTCATGTGTATCAAGTGTAGAAATTGTTGTGTCCGTTTCTATACAATTCGAGTCTTTGGGTGACTTTATATGAACTAAGGACATTTGTTCTTGAATGTTGCAAGAATAATCCGTCTGTACAGGTTCATAAGTTGCTTCGTTTTCTTCTATTGAATCTTGCTTTCCAAGTTCTAAGCATTTTTTGACACAAATATTTGAGTTTATTGGCGTTGCAGTAATATTGTTTACATCCTTGGAATTCTCAATTGAAGACAAATTATAATGACAAGTCCTTGATTGATGATTTTCTTGTGAAATTATTTCTTCCTCATTAACTTCATGTAAATCATCTAATCGATTTTCAGGCATGGAACTTATATGAACTGAATCACAGGAATTTGTACTATAGTGTTTTTTTTTAGAATTGGAAGTATTAATATTACCTACTGAATTAGAATTAATTTCTATAATAATATCAGGTATTTCCTTTTCATTCATCAATTTGCTATTTAATTCTCTCTTATCTTTGACAAATGTATCTGAACACTTCCTCTGAAGATCGGAACAAGTTGACTGCTCCAGTAAATCATGATGTGAGGTCTGAACATGGCAAATATCGTTAATTTCTTCATTCAAGGTACTTTCCGAATGAATCTTATGTAATCTAGAATATATAATTTCTTCAGTCGTATCTACTCTATCAGAATCCTCTTTACGGTGACTTATATCTTCTATTTCGATATTTTTTATTATAGAACCATTTAAACAAGGAGATCTACTTTTTTCAGAAACTTTGTTCTTCTTTGATTCTGTTTTTTTATGAAGCCTGTACATAAAATTAAAAATGAAATAATGTTTTCGTTTCACGATAATAACTTAACACTTTGCATCATAAAAAAGAAGTATCTCACCTAGATGACCGAAGCGTATGACTGTTTTTAACATTATTCTGATAACTATTATTACTATCAAATTTACATAGTTGTTTATTTCGTAAATTTCTTGTCACGGAACTTGTAATAGCAGAGGGGTGCGGACGAGTTTGCAATACGTTTTCTCCATTGTTTATAATAGGCTGCTGTTGAGCAATATCAGAAAAGCGACATCCTTGTGCAATTAATAACTCCGCGTCATATTTTGTTAATCCCTTTCTTCGTAATTCTTTCATGCTAAGACTTTGTGGTGCTATTGCAGCGTTACCAACAAGTACTGCATTTCTTTCTGTAAGCGCAGTATCAGCTTGTTGTTTATTGCGACCTAATGGCTGTTGTCTATGTTTCGTACGATTAATGCGATTGTCTGTTTCTCGTAGACGGTACCCTGTAAGAATTTTCAATTTGGTGATGAATCTGCAAATACATACATCGATATTACTTCAGAATCATCAGTTTTTAAATGTACCAGAGGAAAGTTCTTCGCCTGGTTTTTGATTTGCAAATGCTCCAGTTCCCCTCCTTTCACAAGTTTCACATTCACAATAACAATTACCATCCCCAAAAAAATCTTCTCCATAGAAGCATGTAATTTCTTCTCCCACCTCAATGTCCCGAAGAACCTTAACACAAGCTGTATCCCTTCCTGTTGCCACAAACTGCATTTCAAATAAATTAAACAGTACAGATTATTAATATTTTCGTGTCATTAATAGAACTAAAATAACAATATGTTATACAGATTTATTAACCTTGCAGTTAGCCCTACAATCATGATTAATATATGCTGCTGGACCTAACCATAACTGTGCACAATTTTTTCGACAACTAAACATAACAGAAAAGTCATTTTTTCCAGGATGTAATAGTGCTGCTTCTTCCTGAAATATTGTTTTTCAAACGTAATAAAATAGAAATAAAATATTCAAATTTTCTCAATCTTTTATATTCAACTTTGCACAAACCTTTTCACTAAGTTCTGCAATACATCCAACAAGGCAAGATATTTTATCATGTTTTAACCATTTTCTAGTTGCACAAATTTTGGCACCTTTTTGACCTTCAAGACTATATCTATAGCATGGCTCTATTGCAAACCCAGAATCTTTGTCAAAAACTTTTAAGTATCTGTAAATCTGTAAAAATAAAATAAAATTTATGTAAACATTTGTGAAAATAACTTTAAAAGTGTATATAACTCACATGTTTTTCCAAATTTATCTGTTGTTGTTTAGATTTTGTATGAGGAAGTCGTGCACCCCAATCACCACCCATTAATTTTTTATATGTTTTTTCATAATTTTGTGTTTGGATAAATTCACAAATAATCTTACGGAGTTCATCTTTATTTGCTTTTAATGGCCTATACCTTTATTACAAAAAAAACGCATTTTACATGATAATCTGTTATTATTCTATCAATTCAAAGTCTTATTCAAAAGTATTTACCTGATATTCATTTTATGGGTGGTAAATCCCAGGTAAGGATCTAACACGAGAGAAGTAGCTAGGTCATCATTGTCAGAAAGTTCTTTGGGTGTCATGCCACCACAACTACCAACATTGTTAGGTTGCATCTTTGCACCTACTAACCCACCTAATCTTCGCTCCTGCTTCCGTATTATAGCTGCTGAGCCTTGTATAGATAAGCAATCCACCACCATTCTGCAATCTGTACTTTTACTGGAGAAATAAAAAAATTAGTTAAAAATTGGTTGAAATAATTGAATAAAAAAGTCTGTCTGTTTCAAGATAAAATATGTTTTAAGGGAATTAGCTTATACAAAATATAATTCCTTGTATATTTTCCTATGATTTATATTCATTTATTTTCTCTGACAATAAGTGACATATACCTTTAATTTCTTTGTACCATTTAAAACCAGAAGCAACATCCAGCTTCTTTATATTCTAAACATTAAAACAGACATATTTTTCCTTAATAAATTTTATATTCAATCTACTACTGAAAGAGGAATTAACACAAGTGGAAAAATAATATTAATGTTAATATACATGATATATAAACAATTATATTTGACAGTTTTCTTTTTTTTTCCAATTTTCTATACACAATTGTCATTTTCACATATTCTTTGTAACATAAAGAAAGTGTAGATGTGAAAAATTGTAAAAACATTAATTAAATGGAATACAGTGAAGTAAGAAATATAAAAATTTCTCTACAGAATACATGTTAGTTTTAAATGTAATTTGCAAGTATTAAAATAAAAACAAATAAATTAGTTGCAGTACAAAACAATGAAAAGTAATTTAAAAAGTGTATTCTTTTAGTAAGACTAAGATACTAAAAATTTTCGAATTACCGTCACGTCAATTATCAGTCAATTATTTCACTTCCCTCCGGAGCGAGGAGAGAGTTAAATAATGAAGAAACATAACAAATAATACACTAGAAAAACTGTTCATCAGAGTAATATGCTATTTTGATAATATAATAGAAATATCTGGCGATCATGCTCTGAACGCTAATGGCGCAGACGAGCCAGAGCGCTCCTAGAGGCACGCTGCGCTCCAATTTAATAGGAGAATTTATCGTTTTACTGAGAAACTCAAGAACGGTCAAAATCATTCAATTTTCGTCAAACAATATGCTCACCTTTAAGAAGCTCTCCTGACAACAAAAATCACACATTTTGCTAACAATCTCTGACTTTTTTGGAATAAGACGAAGACGCGTTCGGATCTATCATGGCAGATCTACTATAGCACATACACTTTCCCTATTTTCGAAATGCAAAAAAGACGATCATCGTATTGAACTTGTGATTTTCTTGCAACACGAATAAAATTCAGTGTTTCCTTTACTAAAGGAAACCAAGAAACAATAATCATTTAATTGAAAATGTAACTGAGAAAATCCATGTTTTGGAACTACAGAATGTCGCGTACGTCATACATATCTTGAATACAACGATCTAGTAACTTTCTTGATTTACTAAACTTCGAGACATCAATAAGACATTTAGATTTAAATTTTATTTCAAAGGTTTACAAGTCATTTGTTAGGATTTACAATAGTTTGCGCTAAAATCGATCTGAAGTAATAAAGTTATTAATTTAGTAATGTAGGATTTAAAAGATGTAGCACTGCGTTTCCATGGCAACTATTTCTAGCATTCTCTGGTAATGTAGAATGTTGAAACGTCTTCATTAAAAGCTCTTATTTTAAAATGTTATATTTATACAATTCTCTTATACGTGTATTATTCATTATGTTGTATATATGTTAATGTTTTCATTTTGGCTAAGATTGTTTATCTTTCTCTAAAGTAAATTTTAGGTTAAATTAGAAGTATTTGATAGTTTATTAATTGTACAAATGTAGTATCAATGTACAGTCTACTTCTAAAATTAGAAGATAAAGAAACAAGTAACATAAAAGATTCAGTTACTATGAAATAAATTCATCCTGTAATCAAAAAACTATTAAATTCATTTAAAGCAGTATACAACAATTATATTGATTAATTTCGTATACGAGTATTTAAAATATATTTCTTTTAATTTTTTTACTGATGTGATATTTCAATTGTTACCGATCGATGAACAATTTCTTTATCAGTAAAATGTAAATGTAAACGCGCTTGCGCGTATATAACAGATATCACATGTAGAATAAGACGTATGAAATCATTGTGTAAATAAAAGCACTTTGAAATTAAGTATTCCTAATTTGTAATCACCAAATGGATTTCTTTCCTTCTTATCTAGAAATAAGTAGTAGATAATAAATACTTAAGGCAATACCACGTGCTAACCTGTCATTTTATCAAACATCGAGAAAAGTTTATTAACTTGGCCGTACAAAAATGTCATTAGAATGTACGGAAAAAGTAAATCAACGTTTAAGAAATGTAAAAGCCGGTTTAATTGATTTGATTGCTGGATCGCTTGGTAATAACATCTTATAACATGGTTAAATATCTCGCTAGTTTCATTAGTGTGTAAACGATTTTAAAGTGATAAGTAAAATTAATTAACAAATAAATTATTATAGAAGTAAAATTACGTACAGCTTTTATTGTAATTTATATAATCTGCCGTTTAATTCTTCTATTTTATTTTATCATTGAATTAAATACATTTTCTTACATTTCTAAAGAATAATGAACATTATTATCAGTGATTAGTAATTATTGTTATTGTTAACAATAAATGAATCTAGATATTCATATAAAATTTATATTTATATATTTACAAATGTTACATTTTATATCATTACATGTTTCAAGGTGGGATAGCACTTGTGTATGTTGGGCAACCATTAGATACGGTTAAAGTAAAAATGCAAACCTTTCCCTCCATGTATAATGGAATGGTAAATTGTTTTTTAAAAACGTTGAGGACAGATGGGGTAATGCGTGGTTTATATGCAGGAACTGTACCTGCATTAGTTGCCAATGTTGCTGAAAATTCAGTATTATTTGCTGCTTATGGGGGATGTCAGAAAGTTATGTCTAATGTTTTAGGTAATATAATTATTTAAAAATACTGCATATAAACTGTTTCAATATATTACATTGTTAAACTGTAGTTCTTAATTTCAAAAGAAATTATATTTATATAGGTGTTGAAAAAGTGGAAAACTTGACGTCATTCCAAAATGCTTGGGCTGGATTTTTTGCTGCATTCTTCTCTTCATTAACATTATGTCCTACAGAGCTTATAAAATGCAAGTTGCAAGCAATGAAAGAAGTTCAAATAGAAATGAAAGGGCCAGTAACCGCAGTTAAGGTAATTAAAGAGAAACAGAAGAAAAAAAATTTATATATACAAATTTTTACAAGAGAAAAAACACTTTCTTCTTTTTTACAGAATATCGGATCATGGACGTTAACAAGTCAAATTATTAAAGAACAAGGCATAAGAGGTTTATTTACTGGTTTGTCATCTACAATAGCACGTGAAATGCCTGGCTATTTCTTTTTTTTTGGAGGCTATGAAGTGACAAGAGAACTTCTAGCAAAACCAAATCAAAGCAGGGAGGATATTGGATGGCAAAAAACTATGATAGCTGGTGCTGTTGGTGGAACTGTTTTATGGCTTGTAATATTTCCAGCAGATGTAGTTAAAAGTAGGATACAGGTTGGTCTTTCTTTTATGTAAACTAATTATATGTATCAAAAACATAAATAGATTTTAACTTTAATTTTTTTTTTTTTCTAAGGTAAAAAACCTAAAAACACCAGCATTATCGGTTATGAAAGACATTGTTAGAAATGAAGGTATTAGTTCTTTGTACAATGGTTTAAAGCCAACGTTAATAAGAACGGTACCAGCAACAGCTACATTGTTTGTAACTTATGAATATACTAAAAGACTTATGCTCGACGTTTTTGAGAATAGTTGATATAGAAAATTTGTATTTTTATATTCTTATGTGTTTAATAAATAAAATA